TCTCTCTCTCTCTCTCTCTTCTGTGTCTTTGTACGGTCCTTGCGAACGTTTATTCCTATGAACCTAAAGCTGAATTGTCTGCTGCCTTTTGCAGGACCGAGTGACTTGGAGCAGGCTTCAACGACGCCTGATTCATTTGCTGAGCCAGGAGGCAGAGAGGGAGATCATATCCGTCGCAAAGCCGGAGATGCCTCCGCTGCAGCCCGATCACAAGTTCCACCCTATGACCAAGTTCCCAAGCTGCAAAAAAAATCCGTTGTCCGTCACACATCGCAAGCGCCATCTGCTGTCAATCTGCCCCGGCCTTTGAGGGATGGCAGAGCTCTTCGTGAAGATTGCAAGCCTCGGGCACAGATGGCTATCGACAGATTTATTTCTCGAGGAGGTGGTTTTTGCTCCAAGGGGATGGATGTTTCCCTCAGGGATGTTGGCCTCGAGGCTATGTGCCCATCTCATTATGGGAGGACTGCTGGGGGTTATGCTGCGATGCTACTAATGATACGTTCTCTGTTTGGAGTTAGCTAGAATCTTGGGGTTTAAGTTTAGCGACTTCTACTTGTGATTCATCAGGGAATATAATAAAAGTATCTTTTCTAAAGTTAAAGGTTCTAAGTTCTAAGTGTTGCAGCATTATTTTGTCAGTGAATCAGTGAAATCTACCAGAGCGATTCAACTTGTCGAGCTTGTTGCTGCATCTGACCACTGACTAATTTTGCATTAATTATGATGGATTGAAATCACATACCCTAAACCCAGAACCCCTAAGACCTAAAGCCAGAGACCAATAAACAGCAGGACCACGGCGGACTTCATGTGTCGATATCTTCGGCGAACTGAAGATGATCTGAAGCAGGCCCCGCCAAACATCAATCGGACACGAATCTACTTTCTCTGAATTGCACAGGCCTTGGGTCAGATGGAATTCAAAAGTGTGGGGGTGCTGTGCGACGCATCTCCCAAGGCAAAGATGGATGCCACTAGCCTGCAACAGTAACTAAGACTGCCTGCTTCTCTCTAGAAATCTTCCACGACTGTTGCGATGCCGAGATTTGGCTGCCGATCATCGTGATGCCGGACAAAATCGGGCTTGCTACCCTCCAAAGACTCAGTGGTTTGCTCCCCTCGAATGCCAGCCCCGAAGAGAAGATGGAGGTCGCCGCCATGGTCGCCGACTCCCGGACCCGCAATGTGGTGGGCGACACAAAGCAGAAGGAGCTCAAGAAAAAACTGAAGCTTGGTCTGCATTTGAAGCATCCTGCCACTGCTGTGAGTTTGGATTCATTTCATGACTGATCGCACACACACCTAGGCCCAAAGCCCTCAACTGCATCAAGCAAGACCGGCTAGCTAGCCGGCAAGAGCTGAAGGCTGTGGTCAACATCCTCAGCCATGTCGGGATGTCTATGGATGCCTTCTTTCCAAGGAACCCCTTGACTCCAAAAGCTTGCGAGAGGGAAGAGAGGCAGGTGCATAAGGTGAACTCCCAGAACCTCGCTTTCATCTATGACAAAGAGTCCGGGCAGACTCGCTTTGACATCCCCATGCACTCCGCCTCGGAGGACGTCCGCCTCGTGTTATGTGCTGATCAAGGATCACCACTCCACACCTGCTTCCAATTCCTAGCCCACGCGGGAGCGAACATTTCCTTGATCCGGGACGAGCTGCTGCTTGGTCGCTACATCGTTTTCGTGTTGCCCAAACCATGGAACCACCCAGGGACGTAGGCCTCCGGACCCGACCCGACCCCCACGCCCAGGCACAAACTGCACGCACATCAAGGAAGAGTGACCTCCTGCAGTCCTGCCGTGAAACGCTTCCTCGATGCAGTTACTTAGGTTATTGGGGTTCTGAGTCTGATTGGTTGCAGTACAACCGTAAACCTGCCCAGGAATGACGATGCTGTGTGGATGGCTCTTTCGGGCCAGGAAAACCCCGTGGCACACGCAGGGATTCGGGAATCTTCTCAGCGAAGCTGGTGAGCGGTACATGCAAACAGCAATACAGCTGCATTATGAGAACAAGTCATGTGCATGTACAGTCTGCTATGTCCAGCTTGCAATCTAGGCGAAGCCCGGCGACCTATTGATGCAAATGTTCCAGCGAGATATCTTGAAAGAGAGTCTTGTCCTAGATCAAGCACCAGTCGACTGAGCCACCTCATAATGCACTGCTCCATCAATGCCAAGGAACGATTTGGAGGAGACGAGCGACGAGACTCTGAACTTCAGCAGGGTGATAGAGGTCCTCGGCAAAGTTTGCAAGCCGCTGTCGTGCATTAGAGTTCGGGTTTTGATGTATTTTATTTCGTTCAGGCTTTGGTTGGGATGTGATAAAATAGGTTAAGGGTGATTAGTACTTTATCTGCGAGGTTCAACTCTGAGACCTTTTCATGGTCTCGCTGGTGCAGCTTTGCACACACGGCGAAACGATTTCAGATGACGGCCTCCTTGCTGTTGATTTTCTGGAGTGCAATGGAGGCTTCAACCCAAGTCATTATAAAGTCTGATCTCAGCTTAAAGCGCCAAAAGGTGTCGTGTCATGAATCTATGCCAGATATAGACTTGACCATTTGGATGGTGGGAAAAAATCCCTTCAAGTGCGAGAATGACCTGTCGGCGAAAAACTACGACAAGACCGTTGATACTTGTGTGAAGGCCTGCCTGTGACGGTATGTTACGGAATCCTATGATCATTCTCCTGCAAATCTGAGCCCCTTGATGCAAGCCAGTCTTTCAGCATCCTGCTATCCCAGGTGCTGACCAGCGAGGAGTACTTTGCCCTCTTCCGGATTGCCCGGAACGTCCTCGAGCCCTTCAGGGTGTTTTGTCTTGAACTTGTGCCTGGACTGCAATAATGACGTCGGTCTGTGGTGTGCTTGCCTTTCGTTTGTGTTCTTTGTTTCCCTCTCGAGACTTGATTCGGAAACCAAGCAAAAGACCACCAACCAAAAGAACGCCCTGCACGACCACACGCTGAAGATGAACGGTGAAGCCCTCGAAAACACCCTGGCCGAACTGGTCACGGCGACCTGCAGCAGCAGCAGTCTGGGCATGCTCCCAGACATCGCAGTCTCTGGAGAGGCCGGACTTGCAATCTTGAAGCTGTCTAGTTGTTCAACTGTCCAAGTCTCCAACGATATGGTTCTTGCTATTTGCAGCTACATTGTCTAACGGTCAGTTAGGGTGGCTTCAGTACAATCCATTATTCAGAAATTGACTGCGAATCAATTGACTGCGAATCATGGTTCAACTCAGAGCGACTGCTTGAATCGGCGAGTGCACGTGCCAAGTTAGCACTTCCACACTGCCGAACTTAGACATTCCCATTGAGCAACTATCCTATTATGTTCTATGGCAGCCGCATATCTTCAGTTTTATTCAATTATTATTCACTATTATTCCAATATCCCAGGCTGTCAAGGAGCTCGCACGAAACACAAAGGGACGAAGCAGACACAGAAGGAAAGAGAGAGAGCGAGAGAGAACAGAGGCAGAGCGAAAACAAAGAAGCACGCAACAATTCTTACGTTCTTGCTCATCCTTGAGCAGGAACTGAAAGTGAAGTTTCGCAGAGCCGACTCGCTCTGCAGTGCACTGAAAGAGGGGCACACGATGCTCCTTGCAAGCATACACGAGATGATGCAGTACGTTCTCTACCTTCGGAGCTCTCCCGCGAAAGCGGCCGCTTTGCTGTCGACGGTGGAGGACGAAACGACTAAGGACGCCGTTCTGAAGGCCCTGGAAGAAGAGTGGCGACTGCTGCTTGCTTTGGAAGGCAGCCCTGCCGGAGCAATGCTGCTTCGGCAGCACTGCAGCTTTTGCTCCTTCCAGCAATACCGAGAGGTCATGACAGTGTACGAAAAGAACGACTGGAAGGTGACCCCAGAAACCACGGCCCTCACCGCGGCCTGGTTCCCGCAGATGGCTTGGTCGGCATCCCTCGAATCCATTTTCGGAGATCTTCAAGACGCGACAAAGCGGGCTGGCCGCAGTGACTGCGGCTCCCTCCCCAACCTGTTCGCTGTTGGGGTACGGTCTCTGCAGAACAGGCTTTGTGTGCAGGAAGGCTCTACGAGTCCCGTCAAGCTGGAGGCAGGCGACTGGACGGGAACGCAAGCTCTCGGAGTGAAACCGAAAGCTTTCAACCCTGCCTCTGCACCAGCTTGTTCCTGGGCTGTATCGAGTCTTTCGGCATGTGGAGTGTTGAGTATCTTGTCTCGAGCCATCAACCACCACTTGCCCCAGGCAAGAATGTGGTGGTGGACAACATCTTGAAGCCGTTTCCCAGCACGACTGCTTTCTTCCACAACCACCACTGCCTCAACTTCATGTTGGGGCTCCGCAAGGCTCAGCTGCACCCCGCAAGCACACATACGCAGACGAAGGCCGAATTTGCTCATGCTTCTTAATGACTGACTGTCCCGACAACCACGAACCGAGGCAGGGCAAGAACCCCACGGACGAAGCCGCGAACTTCTGGGTCCAGGCTTGCTTCTCGACTGGCATGCTGTTGAAGTACTCTGGCCAGTTTTACTTGGCCACGGGCAGCACGCCAGCCGTTCTCACCGCATCTGGGATTCACTGGGAGTCTTCACACATGTTAGACTCTGATCCGGACAAATGTGCGATATCTCCAATCTGAGGTTGTTCGCTTGAAGGAGCTCCCCTTCGTCTTCACGGGCTCTCTCCCGGCGGAGACGAACGACGAGACACGAATGCCTCGCCAGAAGCTGGACGAGGTAGACCTGATGAGCCCGACTGAGAGCACACGTGCTCTCGTCTTGGACGTGGGAAGGCGGGGTTCGGACAGAAGTGCTGCAACTGGGTGTGAATTTCAAAGTACTCAGTGCTGCAGGACCATGGTTCAGCAGCTCCGCTTCGACTACGAGGAGGCCTCGTAGTTGGCACGAAGCGATGAATAAATTATGCCAATTTCCAGCGAGGTGAAGCTCTTCGCCTACACTGTGCACGTCTGCGAGGGCCATCTCGCAAACAAGTGTGGCTCGGCCTTGTTGCTGAGAAGGGGCCCTCAAGAGTTTTGCTTGCTTTGCTTCTTGGTGCACTCAGAGCTCATCCTCTTGAGCTCTAGTGCCTCTTTGACGGAGTTGCTGCTGAAGCATGACATCCAGATGCCCAAGAACTCGACGAAAGCTCAGAAGGTGAGGCGAATCTTGGGAATGGACAAGGTCAAAGAGACTTGTGCTGCAAGCAAGATCGCGAAGCTGCTGGCTTCCCTTGATGAAGCAGATGCAAAGAAGAGAAACAAAGAGAAAGAGAAAGAAAAGAAGGACGACGATCTGGACGAGGTGCTTTGTCGTGGGAACATATTCATTCATGTTCTGATATGGCCGTGAGTGAGAGACCGAGAGAAAGACAGAGAAGAAAGAAAGAAGACACGTAGGGAGATATAGAAAGCATCCGATGACGAGGCAGCAGAGATCGAATGGGAGGAGCTGCAGGAAGATCCTGCTGCACAGGCCTGCAGGGAGCTGCTTCAAAGGCTCGACGAGGAGGAAGAGAGAGAAAGAGAAGAGGAGGAGAAGAAGGACCATCGGCTGTCAGAGTTCTATGTGTTTAGCTTCGGGTTGTGACGATCTGCAGGAGGGCGAAGCTGCTCTCCAGCAGCCGACGGAGCAGCAGCAGCGAGCATCCCGAGCGATGCTCTCCACGACTGCCTCTCTCCCCGATGATCTGGTGAAATCAATGCCCATCCCAGATGGGGCGGCCATGCACCAGACCATACATTCTGATGCTACACTACCGCATTTTCAAGGACGTTTGCTCGCCAACTGCTTTTTCGAAGGCAAGCCTCTCGCCTGCACCTAACGTGTCTGAAACAAGGGTCATGTTATCGAACCGCCACTGAATACACGGCTGCAGCCAAGATCGACGCATGCTGCCAGCTACAATCCTGCACTTCCGGAAAACGAGCTGGACAAGAGGCGAACCACCCTCAAGAGTGTGACGGCTCTGAAAAGATCGAGAGCTCAAGCATATTATATAGTGTGGACATGGTTGTGCAAAGCAACCGGAACCGATCATCGATCGGCGAAGCGCCAAAGGCGCGAGTAGAGGGTTTTGGGGATTGATGCCGAAGTCTGAGTGCTAAATTTCAGACATAAACACATGCTTGAGACGCTGGCATCATGATCACGCTGTGAGAACACGGCACGCGGGGAAGCTGTCAGAAGCCGGGAGAAACAAGTGAGCGAGCACGATGACAGCTTGGAAGCACCCAGGGTTAGCAAGCATGCATACTGAAACCCTTGACTAAACCCTAAATCAATCCCCTAAACCCCTAAACTCCCCTAAACCCCTCAACCCCTGAACTCCCCAAAATCCTAGACTTAAACTCCCCTAAATCCTAGACCTAAACTCCCCTAAATCCCTAAACCCCCCTAAATCCTCGACCGGCCTCGGGGTTGGTAGCCCGTTGCGGAGCGTAAGCTGGCACTGGCCGCCGAGTGTACACTTGTCGGTGACAGAATCCGGCTCGGGTCCTAAGTTTAGGGCTTTACGGGTTTTTTGGGGTTTAGGGGATTTAGGGTTTTGGGGTTTAGGGTTTTGGGGGTTTATAGGGTTTAGGGTTTTGGGGTTTAGGGGTTTTGGGGCATTTGGGGCTTGGCATCCAGAGCTTGGGGTTGTTACTTATACTATATTCCCTAGGTTTCCGAACAGAAAGTTGATACTATACCTTATAAGGCTTCCCAGTTTTTATCCTTATAAATCATAGAGCTTACGGCCCTAGGTGCAGTGATTTGAGGGGATGAGGGCTCACAAGAAGTGCTTCAACAATGAAGGGTTCCCAGGGGTCGTGGATCGGTGGACACCTTCGTCGAAGGAGCCCAGGAAAGGTACACGGGGCTTTTGCGAGGATATTGAATAGTTGCCTGAGGAAATTGAATGCCCTGCTTTACTTTACTTGCAACAACTTGCAACCCCATACCATCCCCAGCACCGCCATGATCATGATCGTACTCAGTGCGATCAACACATGAGGTAAATGATCGGCATCGTTGGCAACAGCATCATCAATGCATGTTGTTGTCTTCGTTGTCATCAGTTTCATCGTGTCTTGTTCTTGTGAGCAAGCCGGTAGAAGTGAGTGAGGGCGGGGCCAAATCGAAGAATGCGATCGTTGCGGCTGTCCGCAACGACGATCGCGCCTCCGCGTTCCACCTGGAACATCTGTGCATGCCAGAAACTGGAACCACAAGGACATGACCAAGCAGTCTTGGGTTTAGAGTTTAGAGTTCAGGACTCGTGCAGTGCAAGGTTTTGCATCCAGGGTCGATAGCACCTGAGAGCTCATAACAGCTTTTGGGTGTGTACTTAAAGGATCATGGGACTACTCGGGTTATTATTAGACTAAGTACACTTGTGGTTATAACTTAGAACTGCACTGTAAATTGTAACTTGCAACCTGCCTTACTTGCTAATTCCCATGTTCCTCAAAGAAAGGTAGATCATTTGTGTAACTGAACCAACTCAGGCAATCTTGTAGAACGACACCTGTGATGTGAAGTCTCTGACCATTAGGATCCGTATTCTAATGCCATCAGGTGTCTACCTTACCCTAAGGGTCCATGTACCCAAATAGTGTGTACATTGGCCCTCAAGTACCTATATAGGGACTACATTAAGGCCAATGTATATATACTATATGAGCACATGGACCCTTAGGGTTAGGTCGTGAGGCCTAGAAGACCCCTCCCATCTCAATCTTCGACCGACGAGTCTGGCAAGCAACCACTCAAAGCCATCCCTAAGGGTTTAGGGTTTAGGGCATGCACCCCAATAGTACATACTTTGGGCCCAAAGTACCCAAATAGGGATGATTTTAAAGGGCAAAGCATATACTATTTGGGTGCATGGACCCTTAGGGCATGTAAGCCTTCAGCCACCAAAGGCCAGGGACGAAACTGTCAACGCTAGGGTAAGAGTACGCGCCCGACTCTAAACCCAATCCCTCAACACACAGAGTTTACACCTTACACTCTCAGAACATGTCTTTTTGTAGAGCCATTGTGGCATCTTGCTAGGATCCTTCAAGAAACTTACAAACCCCTATTGCACCCCTCTGTCTTCCATTCAAGCATAGCACGAGAATGCCAGCGGGGAAGAAGACTTGCGCCAGGGATCCGCCGCAAGATCCGCCTGGTGGGACGAGCCCAGAGAGCCCAAATACCCCTTAATTAAGGGATATACCTTAAGTCATAATATTAAGGCCCCTATAATTTAAGGAGTATTATTCCTTATTTAAGGGGTGTTGGGCTCTCTGGGAGAAGCTTGGGGACGACGCTAGACTCCCAAAGCCCAAAACCCCCAAAAAAACCGCGGACACCCCAACCCCCCAAAACCGCAAAGCACACGAACACACCGCAGGGCCCTATCAAGCCTGAATCACCCTGAAGACCTCAAAGCAGAGGGCACTGGGACTGAAAGTGCACTTCTTAGACTCTTTGGCTCTTTAAGTGGAGATACTGTTGATGATATAAATCCTGCATTACCCATAACAAGGAATATACCTTAGTTCCCATAGTTTAGGGTCCTTGAGGTAATGCAGAATTTATATGATCTGCAGTATGAATGCTCTCAAAGCTGACTGTGAGGTGGCATGCCCATGAAAGTCCCCAAACCAGGAAAATGGCCGCCCCATGTGGGAAAGACAGATGAACGCCTGCTTTCTGCATGAGCCAGTAGCCGGAAAAAAACAAGGAAGCGTCACATGGTCTACGATGACAGCACCATTGCCAATGAAGGATGCGACCGAAAGCAACGGCAAACTCTATCGCCACCCCAAACCCTACAACTTGCACAGAAGCGGAGGGCGCAACTAAGTCCGGGGAAAAGGGCCACCTCAATTAATGAAGTGGTAGGATACGGCTTGGGGATTCTATTCATGCTCAACAAACTCTCTGAACCCTAAACCCCTCCTATATTAGGTCTGCCGTGCCTGCCACAACTGCTACCCTGCCGCTTTGGACCTTCTTCCAGATGATGCAGCCTCGCGGGGCTCTTACCCAGACCTTCCAAAATCCCTTACGTAAGGGTGTAGGGTTCTTATCTGGGGTTACAGGTGTAGCCCAGGGCAAGACACCAAAATTAAAGGGTGAACGGGCCCCCTTGCGGTGAATCCAAGGTTCGGAGCGTTTTAGTAGTCAGAGGTTTAGGGCTTCAAAGGCTCCGAGTGCTTTTAGAGCGAGTTGTTACTAGGCTTGGGCTGGCAAGTGTCCAATTGCTGATTTAGCTGCTGTCAGAAAGTTTCAAAAGCAAAGAAGCGCGACGCCGATTGACATTTCTCATGCCGTTTGCCTGGGAGGAAGCATTGGCAAAGCAACTCTGAAAAACTATATACTCGTGCGACTTGCTCCCAGCTGATCTGAAATCTCCGTGCCTCCCTAGACCCTAAACCCTAAACCCATCTGCATCCAGGCAGCCATCTGCATCTGACACATACAGCGCATCCTAAGCTGTGACTTGGGCAGAGACGAAGCCTCAACAGAAGCAAGCGCCACCCCAAAACCCTAAACCCTAAACCCAAAAACCCAAAAACCCAAAACCCAAAACCCTAAACCCAAAAACCCAAAACCCTAAACCCTAAACCCAAAAACCCAAAACCCTAAACCCTAAACCCAAAAACCCAAAAACCCTAAACCCTAAAAGCTCCCCCAAGACCCTGCGAAAACAGCGCTCCCACGCCCCAGGACCTCTTCAAAGAGTGTGTTCAGCCCTAGGGTTTAGGGTTTAGGGGTTTAAGGGTTTAGGGTTTAGGGGGTTTAAGGGTTTAGGGTGGGTTTAAGGGTTTAGGGTGGGTTTAAGGGTTTAAGGGTTTGGGGGTTTAAGGGTTTAGGGGTTTAGAGTTTAAGGATTTAACGGTTTAGGGTTTAGGGGTTTAAGGGTTTTGCTAACCGTCAGCCCTAGGCACCGGAGATTTCTGTAGTGTCTCATCATTCGCAGGAACACCTCATCTGCACTCCAGGCGTCATCTTGCGAAAAGAGGCCGTAGGGGCGTCCCCCAAGGCCCGAGAGGTAAAGCTGATATCGGGGTCCTTTCAGGGATTCCTGGCTTCAGCTTGGGGATGCTTCGGGGTTCGGAAGTGCTTGGGGAACAAGGCTTAGGGAATATGCAGAATTTCGGAGGTTGAGTTGAGGCACGAACTGCATACACCTGCCTGCTTGCAAACCTTATGCGCCCCGTCGCAGGACAATGCACAGCTCTATCCCTGAGGGTCCGAGTAGTAGCTATTTGAGGATTCAGGGTTATTTGTGCTCCGGGGAGACTTTGCCTCCAGACCGTACTTGGTACACAAAACCATGCTGCAGGATTTCTGGGTCATATATGTGTTCATGTCATGGCCGAA